TCTCTGCAGTAGTTACAGCTGAGATATGAACTAAATTAAAAGTGAATTTAAGTAGTCCTTGCTGGTAGGATTGCTTCAGAGATAGTGGAATGAGGTTGCTGAGGTCTTGCTGAATTCTACCAGACCACAGAGCTGTAAGTAGGAAAAAAAACCCCAAACTTAATTATTAGAAAGGGTCTTAGCCAAGAGCAATCAAGTTAGTCACATTGGGTTCTCTTTTCATTACAGGTAGAAGTATTTTTAGTGTGATTTACAGAATCAAGGTAACTATAACCAGCTAGCACAAAAAGTTTAGTAGCATTAAAACGCACTGAGCAAGAAATGCAAGAGATGCATTTTTCATAAGAAACTGAGACTAATCCTTTTTTCTTTCTTTCGAAGAAGATGTAGCATAGCAAAAATCTACTTCTTGGAGTTAGAAAGTTTAAGTTATTTCAGATCTAGCAGCTGGAAGCCTAATTTAACAGTCTAGACCTGAGTTTAACAGCTGTTGAAGTGGTGTGAGAGAGCCAGTGGGTGTCACATGCAATTTTCTGTTTTTAAATAAAAATAGAGGAGTTTGCAAAAATCTTTGTTGGCTTTCTAACCTTGGCCAGGATTAAAATGTGTGATTGTCAGATGCTATTATTTCTTCAAAATATAACAGTAAGTAATACAGCAGGTTTAAGTAATAGGGGGATAGTTCTTCTTGTTCATCATTTATTTTGGAATAACTCAGTGTGATAAGTGGAAAAATGGACAAGTTGTCGTGTGAGAGAACTTGGCCATTAGTGTTTTGTCAGTTTGCTAATAATAACTTAGAGCTGGCTAATAATAACCCTTAAAGGGACAATTAAAAGACAGCAGCTATGATGTCCAGCCATACGATGTCGTATCAAATGTGGACTTGTCATATATTGGTTATGTGATTGGTTTGGATGAGTGGTGACAACATATTGTAGTGTATCAAGGTTGTGCCTTGTTTTTTTTTAGGTGAAGAACGAAAGTGAGGGGAGGCCTAGGGCGTGATAAGAGCATGGTTGTGGTACATCCACCAAAAATGAGTGGGATGGTATATTTCTGCTAAAAAAAAAAGTAGTAAATAAATTATCAAACACAAGATTTTGCATAAATGGAGGATTGTATTTGCACAGGTATCTTTTGAGAAATGAGTACATGTCCCGTGTGCCTGGGCAAGAATTTATTGATGTAGAGGAAAGTTCTTGATAATAAATATGGATGGCTGTCCTGAGTTATTAAATGAAATTCTAGAGCCTGATGTTAAGACTAAATGCGATGTGTTGGGCTTGATGCTGTTACTGACACCAAAATGAAATTGTCTGTCTTCATCACTCAGAGCTGCATAGTACTGGAACTCGCTTTCTACCTTTAAACCTAGTGTTTAAATCACTGCTGAACACGAGTTCTATGTTGTATGATGTTTTGAAGTGTATGGTAAAAGCCATGATTTTGTAATTATTTTAGGTTTGGGTTTTGTTTTGTCTTGTTTTGGTTTTTTTTCACTACTGCAAGCATAGTAAATTCCAAGGAAGAGGAGGGAAGGCCAAATAAAGATGTACAAATATCTTAATATTGTAGTCAGTTACCAGGGCTCAAGCATCAGAGCCTATTGCCAAGTATTGCAGAGATTAAATCAGATAGAAATGAGCATTTAGTGAGTGTTTTAATAAGATTTCTGTATGGCCTTATTCCCTGTTAGAGCTCCCTGAGCCCAAATTATGCATTCCTTAAGCTGATGTCTGTCTGTTCTTCTGGTCTCTACTCATTTTCCTGTGAATAGAAAGGTTTTTAAGAAAGCTTTAATGTTTGGATACAAGTGACTTTTGAGGTGGTGTTTCCCTACAGCTACCCTACTTATCCAGGTGTTCACTGCAAGAATGAAAAGGCTAGTGTACAATGGCTGCAAATTAATACAGAACAGTTCAGCTTCCATTGTTCTAAGATGATGTAGGCTATTAATCTGGATAAGTGGTGACTTGGGGTCATTCTTCCTGCAGATACCCACTGTCCTCTTTGTCAGTATCACAGCTTTGCTGTGACTGTGGCAGAACTAGTTAGACAATCCAAACTAACTTTGGAAAAGCAGGCAGTGTGAGAATTGAAATGAGGCTGGTGAATTTTCAGCGTTCTGTTAACTGATAAAACTGATTTACTGCTGATAGTGAATGAGGGAGAAGTGCATGGGGGAGATAGATGTTGGAGTGTTCCACATGTTACATCAGTGGCCGCTGCCTGCAGCCTGCCCAGATGTAATTGTTTCTGGTGGCTGTCTAAACACAGAAGGCTTCAGGGCTGTCTCCAGTGTGTACTCAGACTTGGGGATAGTTGGACTGGAGGTGTGAAGTCTGGGGAGCCAATATGCCATACAGGGCACATTGTCAGCAGGCAGAGTGCTGTAGAAAGACATAAGTCTCCATTATAGAATCAGGAGTCTTTCAGGTGTGGAGTGGTGTTCTGCCTGCTTTCATCTCCTTTTTCTCATTCACCAGAGGCCTAGAGCAGGGGCTGGGCTATAGGCTGGAACACAGCTGTTTGTTGCTTCTGCAGGGATTTGTTTTTCTAATTCATCCTTTATCTCTGCTCTAAGTTTTTTATTAGTATTTTATTTCTTGTGTGATTATTTTGTTTTGTTTGGAGTTTTTTTTCTAATTTGCACTGTGAGTTTTTTGTTTCAGATTACTATACTGAGATTCTTCCCTGTGCCATGTGGAGATACAGCATTAGAAAATAATTACTGAAGCTTCTCTGCCATTATGTTCCTATCTGAATGGAGGCAATGGTGTTTTATGGTGTTACCTTAGCTTATAAGAGTAGCTCCAAGGGTTCTGTGCTCTGTAGGGCCATCTTACAAAGTAGCAGATTAAGCTTGCTCCAGCATGATTTCCAGATGTTTAACATGATGGGAAGAGCTGTGCTTGCTCTTGAGATTTGAGTGGAAGACCTGAGGCAGACTCACAAAGCCAATATTTTTCTGGCTGTAGTTTTTTAGTGAGGCCAGTCAGGAGTGCAGCCTGCCAGTTCATGGAGGGTGAGGACTTGATCCAAGTGTGGATAAAGATGGTTAAGTCGATGTAAGTAGAGCGCTGTCGAGACTGGCCAGAAGAGTCTGGTTGCAGGTGAGGAGCAGTGTTCACTATCCCAGGAAACAGCTGTGCTGCTGCTTTCGTTCCATGTGCACTGATGGACACATGGGGAGCTGTGCTGAGGACTCAAGAGAATGCTGTGGCAATTACTACATGGAGATGTTGCTTTTTACAGCAGCATTGCTGGTCTTGGTGTGTGTGTTCCAGGTATAGAATTCGAGCCTTTAGTTGAATGAATGCATCAGCAGATAACAGAAAAGAACATGCTTTTTGTTTTCTGTTCTGCCTGTGCTTTTTTGTCTCTCTCCATAATTACAGGTTGGTTCTGTTGGGCAGTGGAGGCAGCTCCCATCACTAGGTTTCAATTTAGAAGGAAGCATATTGTTACTAGAGTCAGAAGACCTTTCTCATTCATTCTCCTGTTCCCATCAACGTGGCTTTTGCTGGCAAATACATAGATATATTGTCTATGAGAAGAAAAATAAGATGGGATGTCTTGATGTACTGTGGGGGATGAGAATGTTTCAGTAGAACAGAATACTTTAGAAAGGATTTGCATCATCAAAAGCAGATTAAAAAAAAACTGTAGAAACAGTTGTTCATGTGTTGCATTATGGAACGCCAGCACTAAGGGTTGGCTGAATATGAACTTAACTTTCTGAATGCTTTGTGGCCTGCTGGGAGAGTTGTTTTGCACTGTCATGGTAATAGAATTATACTACTTCAATACTAAAACAAATGTGATCACTGTGCTTTTGAAATTTACCACATAGGCTTTAGTTTATGAGCAGCTTCACAATTTAAAGTCTCTTTTAGAACTCTTAATCCTGATACTTGTGCATGTATGATCCATGACATTAATTCAAAAATATTTATTTAATTTTCAACTTCCTAAAAGTTGTGTAATGAAAATGCTTACTATTAAGTATAATTCAAAATATTTTAAAAGCAGCAACTAAAATATAATTTACATTTATAAATTGGTAATTTTTAGCAGATTAAGAGGAATAATGTAACCTGTGCAATGTTTTGAATTTACTCTTTGGTTTTTAAATATAATCCTTCAATTATTATCAGCTGTCTGAAAATTGAGGAAGGATTCCTTCATTCAAGCTACTTTAGTTTGAGCAAACAGGATTTTATACTGTAGTGGTGTTCCAGCATATTTTCCTTGTTAAAAGAAGGAAGGAACTCCTTTCAGTTCATTATTGACTAATGATTCTTGGCTCTCTTGCTAGCTTTTACAAGTAAAGTGAAAATGGAAGGACTAAGATGCTATCATGCTTTCTTGTAAATACCTTCTGACTGGCTCACTGATTTTCTACAAGACTAAAACTGGTTCCTTAAACTACTTCAGTTCTTAGTGTCGCAGCTCAGAAATTGCAACAATGTGCTAACCAAGATTTTATGCTGGCTAATAATGTTTTAATGCCATTTGGTGGTAGTCTAAAAGCTACCTCCGTTTCCAGTGTTCACATTTCCACCCTTTAATACCAGAGTGTCTTTCCTGTGCTGAGAAGGTTGAAGAGCAGTAGCGCTGTGTTGTAAAATGGAGTGTCATCTCAGATAGTTTCTTTTCTTGGTTTTGGTTTAGGTTAACAGAAGTATCTTTACATCTGCATTTTCTGGAAATTTAAGAACACTGTGAACCTCTGGCCAATAAAAATTTTCCCATTATGTAAAACATTCTTGTAGATATTGACTCACTGATGGCTTCCTCCATGAAGTAAACAGAGTTTTGCAATGAATTTTCTAGTGAAGTTGTAAGTTTCGTGCAGCTTTTTGATTTGCTAGTTTGTTACGGTTTAGTGCAGCCTTTACCTACTATTTTTCTTTTTTTGCCTTCAGGCTTGCGAGAATTGTTTCTGTGTATTAATAGGAGATGCTTGAAACCTACTTGACTTGTTTGTTTCCTAGCAGGAAAGCCTGAGTGCTTAGGCTTAACTGAATCAAGACCAGCTCTCAGCAGTGGGAAACAATATATTAATCTATCGGAAGCACAGACTGCAGGCTTGTGTGTCACTGGGGTTTGTGTTGTGAATTTTTTTCATGTAAACAGGTAGGTAGGAACAATTCTTCTGCTGTGTATGTTTTGAATATGTTTGTTGAGAAACCTCATGACAGTTGTGTGAGTTGGGGTATTTTTTGTGAGATTTTTTGGTTGTTTTTGGTGGGGTTTTTTTAGTATTAATATCATTGCATGACACCGCAAAGTACCTCATTCTCCTTTGCATTTTCACATCTTTAAGTTAATGATATTAATTTAACAAATAGTCTTCTGTGCCTGGGTTTGTTTTAGTTATGAATGAAGGTGATACCTCAAAAGTCAAAACAAGTTTCATTCTCATTTCTATAAATAAACCCTCTTGTAGCATTGCTCTGTCTCATTGTGTGCCTTGCACACAATCAGAATGGACTATTTGGCAATCTGCATTCTGTCTGATGGACTTAAGTTGCATGATAGTATATGGAGGCTGGGTTTTTTTGTTTCATCAGTTGTACTTGCAAGGAAGGTAACCAAATTATTATCTCTATTTCACAAAAAAATCTTCCCCTCAAGTGTTTGAGTTCAAATAGATTAAAAATATGATTAGAACTCATAGGTGGTAACCTGTTTCCTCAGTCAGCCACAGCCTAATTTGGAAAACTGGATTTAACCTTACTTGCAAGAGGAGAAAACATCCTGAATCCCTTAGAACAGTACCCTAAATATGTTTGGGGTTGTGCTTTCCTTCCTTGTTCCACTCTACTTTTTCTGGAGTTTAAAAAGAAACTATGCTTCTAAAAAAAAAAAAAAAAAGTTCTGTTTGCCTTCAGTTTAAGTTTTAAATTAGGAATGGATAAAAGAAGTGAAATGTTCTCTTTTCAACTTCTTGACATGATCACGGGAAATTCGTCAGTCCTTCAGGTGAGTGATGGGGGTTGTGTCTTTGCAAGGAGCAGCAGGTGATGCTCTGGGGCTACTGAGTGGCATTTTCCTCAGAACAGGTCCAGCTTTATAAAGCTGGCAGGTAGAAAGGCTCTTTCAAAATTGTATGTGGAAAGGGATAAAAATTAAGCTTTTTGCTACACTATTATCAGACATATGTTAAGCACTGTGACTAAGAACTTGTTGGTAATAAGTTATATGAATTAATGATGGTGTTTTATATATAGGAGTTCATGTTCTTGTCACAATAAGTTCTTTCTGTAGGTTCACATGACAGTATTACAAGTCATTTTTAGGTTGTGATCTAGAAGTAGCATCTGGAGGATGCGAGAAAAGGAAGTAGTCTGCTGGAATAGTTGAAAACTCTTTTGGCCTTCTCTCTTTTTGCTCTCCCACACAGGACTATGAACAATTTATGAAGCAGACTTGCTATCTTTCTGTAAGATGTTTTTTTTCCCCTTGGCCACGTCTTCTGAGTTGGTGCTAGGTGTTTGCTGGTGTTTTCCTAAGAAATGTTGTGTGCCTCTGTACTGGTATGTGAATTCCTGCCAGAAAGCAACTAGGCTGCACACGGCTGTCTTGAAGGAATTTTCACTGTCCTGAAGCAAAACGGGTTAAGATGTGTTAAGTTGCTAGTCTTAGACTAACTGCAGAAACCAAAAAGATAATTAAAGATCTTATTTTCCTATTTTTATTTGGTTTTTACGGGAAATGGATATTTTTGGTCCTTCTTCACTCCAACTTTATCAAGATATAATTGTTTTTGTGTTCCTTATTTCTAGTTGTTTTTTCACTTTTGACAGTTCCCAGCTTAAGACTGGAGTTGTATTATACAAGGTAATACTTATGAAGAGATGGGAACTTGGTAGGTGCCCAGGTAAGATCAGAGAAAGGGGATCTGTTCCTCAGCAAAGGAGAATAGAAATCTGCAGGAGTGCATTAAGTCACACAGATAGTCTCTGATAGCTTTCCTGATTTTGTTCTTCTGTTTCAAAGCCAACAGGCCTCTCTTTCCCCTTTTCAAAATTGTGATCATGTTTTTAAAATGTTGTATGTTATGTGGACTGCAAACCAAGAAAGGGATTTGAAGCTGAAGATGAACTTTAGTGGTAAATTCATTTCAATAGATAAAAATTTAAAATATGACTAAGTAAAATTTTCTTTGGGAGCCTAAACTGGGGATATATTATCCACTACGGGCATGTCAATGTTGACTAAGCCATGTTAGAAGAAGAGTTCCTGTTTCAGTGCATGGGAACTCGGGAGCCCCTGCAAAGAGTAAGCAAAGGACTTGTGCACAGCTTTGAGAAATTAATCTTCTCCCATCTGTTGGTGGGGGAGTGGGTAGTAGTTGTTTCCATTGTATCTGAGTGTATACCTATGTTGCCCATTATTGGTCTTTTAAGGGAAAGAAAAACCTTCAAACATGCCCCTAAAACCAGCCAGCCTTAGCACTGCTTTGAGCCAAACCCCCTAAGGCTGCATCTCCCTCTGAACTCTCCCATTTGCTTTCTGCTCAAGCCCATATAACACGCTCTGGTTGCTGGCTGCTGCCCCTCTCCTGGGGGCTGCACAGGAGCTGGGGAGGTGCCAGAGGGTTGTGGAGGTCTCTGAGCTTTCCAGGTCCTTGCCAGCAGGTGTTCAGCCCTGCCTGATGTTCCAGTGAGGTTGAACCAGAGGAGACTGGGCAGGATGCTGCCCCAAGGAGGACCTGGATTTCCAGGAAGAATAGGTTGCAGATGGTAGGCAGCTGCTATGAGCTAAAAGATCTGGCCTTGAGCCTGGCTCTGCAGGATGCAGAAAGGAGGAGGGGTGGAAAGCAGTGATGAGCCTATTGTTTCAAATCAGCCAACAACTGGCTGATTGACACCCAGGGCTCCTTGTTGCTCCCTTTGCTCTTAAACACAGCTGTGCAGGGGGATGGAGGTAACTCAAATCAGAGGTTAGACTTCCAGTGTCCAGAGAGGCAGTGGGCATAAATTAAGGGAAAAAAAAAAAAGGATAAAATTCCATCTTAATACAAGAACAGCTTTTGGCTGGAGGTGTGCTCAAACACTGCAACAGGCTGCCCAGTGTGGTGGTGGAGTCCCTCTGCAAATACTCAAAACCCGATGGGTGGCTGTGCTGGGCAGCTCTGCCTGACCCTGCTTGGGCAGAGGGGGCTGGCCTGGATGGTCTCCAGATGTCCCTTCCAACCCCACTGCCTCTGTGAAAGCTTCTTTAATATTTGCATGCATTCTTTTGCTGCTGTTGTGGAACACTTGGGGAATAATTACAAATGCCCCTGCTGGGCACTTGTCTCACAAATACTGCTGTTGTGTAATCACGGCAGTTTTAATTGTATAGGAAAAGCATCCAAGTGCTAAGTAGTTAATTGACTAAAGTCCCCAATTTAAGCAACGAAAGCAAAAACATCCACCAGTATCTCCCCGTTCCCTGAACTGAGAAAACACCAGAACATCCTAAACCTTAAAAGACATTTTGGTTTTAATCCCTTAAAATATTGTGGTTATGATAATTAAAGGTAGCTTTATTAAAATAAAGTTGTTTATTATTTTCCCCTCATTCCCTCTAGTTTTTCCACAAAGTACTATCCTCAAATTATCCTGTGAAAAATGAAATAAAAAGTAGGCAGGAACATGAGAGGAGGAACAGCAGAGAAAATGCTAAGTGATCCCACCAAACCCTGCAGTTTATGCCTTTCAACCCACGACTAGGAAGTCATGAGATGATTGGAAAGAACTTTCCTGCAGCTGTGTTTCTTGCCGGGCTCTTTCAGCACTCTCCCGATTGCATTTTGCACAGCCCTCGGGAAGACTGCAGTGCAGTAGTTGGCAAGGAGGGAATTACCAGGAGGGAAAATCAAGCTGTGGTGGCTCCTCTTGCAGTGTGGTGTTGCTGAGATCTGCATTTTGGAGGAGGTAATGAACAGCTGCCTTTGGGTTTCTGATTTGGAAGCTTGCAAAAAAAAGGATGTGGATAAGAGTGTGCCTGGCATGCTGGACAGCCACTAAGCTTATTGATGTAGTGGTTTGGGTTTTCTTCTTGATACAAAACACCTGCAGTTTCTGCCTAGTACTTTGTTTTTAATCCTCTGTGCTCAGACAGTGGAGAATAAGGTAAGGTGCTTTTTGTTGACTAACATATAAAGGATAATGGAAGTAATTTCTGTATGTTGTAGCATGCAACAATAACTGTGCTTGTTGGAAAGTAAAAGTTTTGATTGCCTTTTTTATTGCTTGTAATACATTGAAATTCTGTGTAATAATTCCCCTGAATTATCTGGTGCATTCAAGTTGAGAAACAGTTATGTGTACTTCATTAGTATTATAAGATTCTTTTTTAGTCAGTTTTTGCTTTGGTTTTTCAATATAATACGGAATAATTTTTCGAGATCAATTATTTTCAATTGTTCTGAGAATGTTCCTTTTTTAATTTTAATCTTAGGAGCTAAATCCCCAATCCTTTCTATGTCTTACCAATATCTCTGGATTTTTTTTATCATGCCAGATTTTTAAGGGTGTAGCACTGTCATAATGCTCCTGTTCAGCTGTGGAGTGCACTTGTTTAGTAAGAATGAAACTTTGGAGGCACCTTAATTCTCTGTGGTTTGGAAGGGGTTGGTTGGTGTCTTGGGAGGGAAAGGAAAGGCTGAAAGTGCAAAACTCCCTGTACTAAATTTGGATTTATACCTAAGAATACGAAGGAGCAGTGGCCCAGGGTGATTGATATGATTGGTGTCTGAAGTAAATATTGGAGCTAAGAGTTTTAGAACTTCAGTTTTTTGCTGAGTTAATATGTAAATGTTCAGTACAGAAATTTGTACTACTTTCATGACAGCTGTAGGTATAATGGGCTGACTTGTAATTTATATACTGTTTTGGTGGGGAAAGTGTACAGTTGCAGATCTCCTTTTAGTTTGAGTAAGCGTTTATTCTTGGAGTTTTCTGTAAATCTCAGTGCAGGGCTATTTTTCCAGGTACTGTGTTTCTACAATGAGCCAGATTGGGCTTTCATTGGCCCGTGTGTGTTTTGCCAGAATCCGTAACCACTCTTTAGCACGTTGGTTGCTGTGATCATGGTCCAAAGTGGCATTGCTGCTACTTTGCTAGCAGCAGTAGCCTTTCCTTTCCACTTCCTGAGGACCAAAGGTGAATTGCAGCACATGACTAAGATCCAAAAAAAAAAAAAAAAGAGAAAGCCACAAAACCCCATTTTATAGCCTTGCGAGTTTGTGGCGTTCCTCCTTTGAGGCTAAGCGCTGTCTTGGTCTCGCGTTGAAGTCCCACACTTCAGCTGTGGCGAGGGGCCCAGTGTGTTTAGGGTCAGGTGAGCATTTTTGTGACTAAATTTTTCAGCAAAAGCACACTGTGTTTAGGGTCAGGTAAGCATTTTTGTGACGCTGTGACCTTCCTGGCCAGCTGTGTGGCTGCTGGGGCCGGGCCGTGTGCGGGATGGCAGCGGGGAGTGGTGCCACCGGGAACGCCACCCCGGCACCATGGAGGAGCCGCTTGGCTTGGCCACAGTGCTCCTGGACTCTGGGCTGGGCGGGTGCAGAGTCACTGACAAGAGCTGAGCGGCTGAAATCCCTGTGGAATGGGCTTTGGCTCTCTCTTGTACCTGGCCAGGTGAGGTTGCCGCTGTGTGCTCTCAAAAATTCGGCCTCGGCATGTATGGGTGAGAGAGGCCGTGGGGATGTCAGACTTTGTGTGGCGGTGACCTGGGCATTGTGGTACTGTCGCATTTAAGAATGCACATAAATATTGATGAAGATTTGTATTAATAATGCTTTTGGACCATTTTCTTCTTTTTCTCTGTGCTTGTAAAAATTCCAGGATCAATCCCCCAAACTTAAATTGCTTACTTTAAATGACCTCTTAGAATATTGTTGTGGGGTGGTTTTTTTAAGAAATGCTCTGCAGAATACTTAAATGCTTTCCCAAAATTTAGCTGGTGTTTTCAAATGGAATTTATCAGACTTTCCAAGAAAATGGTGCTCCTGTGAAGATTTTGTATGGTCTGTAATGACCCGCAGTGTATCTGTGTGGAGAAGTTTTTGTGTGCGTGAAAGCAAGAAATGATAGCTGTGATTTTAACTGTGCATGTTCTCCTTTAATGCTGTTTTGTTGCGTCCTTTGTGGGCAGTAGGGGAGGAGAAGAAAAATAGTTTAAAAATCATGTTGATATGTTTTGTCTACTGTTCTTTGTTATTTATCTTACGTTTAGGTTATTTTTAAAATTCATCATTAAGAATTAGTTTGATGGTCTAATGAAACTAAAGAAGTAACTTGATAGATTCTGAGAAGCCTGTTACAGCATTTTTGAATGAAGGTAATGTAACTCAAGCTTCTTCTTTCTTCAGGGCAAAGAAAGAAACCAGGCAGACTGTAGCAAAGCTCCCTTTATTGGCAGGAGTAAAGAGAACCCTATCAGAGCATTGAGAAAGCCTATTCTTCTTTCTTCTCAAGCTGCGGATCAAATGAGATTCAAATAAAACAAATGAAAAGTAAGCAATCAGAGAGTCTTCCAAATTTGGGGGAGGTGTGGGAAGAAGAGAAGTATACAGATTTGATCAAGAAAGCTGCTGCATGGACTTTGGAAATCAAGAGCTTTTATTTAAGCTAACAACTCAGTTTTTAATATAGTCTCTTCAGTTGTCTGTGAAGGAGAAGTGTTACACGAGTAGGAACGTACAGCTTTCAGACTGATAGTTTATGTTAGCAGGTAGTTGGGGAAGAGGCTAGAAAAAGCAGTAAGAACAGAGGCTGAGCAAGAACTGAAAAGGATTTCAACCTTTATGCCGTGCTGGCAGCATCTGTGGTACTGAAGAGGTATTTAAATGGAAAGGGTCCTGTAACCTGTTCTTAAGGTGAACCTTTTCTAAAGGTTAGAGCCTAAGAAAATACATACATTTAATGGAATTGTGTTACTGTGAGTTTGGACACTCACCTTTACACTTCTAATGCTTGTAACTTGTGTGTTACCTGAAACTGTATTCACATATGTGGCTTGTTCTTCAGTGGCACTGCCACTGCTTTCTGTGGCTCTGCTCTGGTAAAACCCTTCCTTTTGTTTTTAATGTAAGGTTTTTTTGGCTGCTGGGAAAATTCTCACATTTGTCAAACATGAAAAATTGACAGCATTGGATAAACTCTGAAGGAGATTTATTTGGAATTACAGTTTGATATACTTTCAAAGGTTTTTTTTCTCCCTTGTGTTTGAGTGCATTGCTGAACTGGGCTATACTCAATCCAAACTTCATAAGCTTGGTAGGTACTTGTTAGGAGACAAATTGCTGTTACATTTATTAAGGATATGAGATTCTTTTTAATTTTCTTTTTTTCTGCTAAAGCATGAATATTTGGGTAGAAGAGAACATTTTACCTAAGCAGTCTTACTAGTGCCATGAAGTAGGTGCTTGGAAATCTGTTTTCCTTTGGTTTTAATTCTAGTCATGCACATAATATTTCTTCCTCTATGTCAAAAATGGAATACAGTCTTTTGTGAGAATGAACAGTTACTTTGATGAACTTGGTCTGAATTTTCATGTGCAATCCTTTCAGCAATTCATCATTGCACTGCTGATATGATGAAAAATAGATTTTTACAATATATTCTCCTGGCATCTGTGTTGTTGATTTTTGTGTAGTGCAGCAAAGTAAATCTTGAATGAGGTAGTGGAGGGCTTGAGTGAAATTACTGGTTAAAACTGAGCAGATGAGAGAAAAATAGGGCTATATAAAGGAAAGTATGAGTACAAAAAGTTTGTGCTAAGAGAGATGATTTCTTATGTGCCTACTACATTCAGCTTAGCCCACTTTAAAGTAAAATTATCTGGAGATGATTTTTAAAAACTGGGTGATTACATATCATTAAAGATGTAATATTTTCTTGTGAGAGAAACTTAGGATTGTCCTCTCTCAGCTGAACTTAAGATACTCTGGATTTGCCTTAATTACAGCTGTTTCCAGCCCTCTGTCTTGTGTCAGTGCACTGATGAAGTCCCTTATTTCACTGAGACACAGAGGCTGTTTGGGTTGATAACAAAACCCATCCTTGTTCCAAAGTGGAATAGCCTTCACTGTAACTAATCACAGCTATCTCCAGCACAGCTGTCAGTGAATAAGTATAACTCTGGTGCAGTCAATGCCCCGGAGAATAAATTAGCAAAGTAGTAAGACCATATAAAGATAAAAATGCAGTGTGAGTTTACATATACCTAGTTTAATGATTTTCTTCTTTTTTTTTTTTTCCCTGAATAACTGTCTTGAAAAATAGAAAATTGCTTTTAAAAGCCCCAAGAGAAAAAAACTCCACTTATTGACACTATGATGCTTGTCTAACCTGTAGAACTCACTGAGATAACACTAAGAATATGCTGCTCTTGGCCTCAAAATAATTGCTTGTAGATTTAGCAGATGTATAGAGGAAATAGGAATCACGCTTAACAGAATCTTTGGAGCTACCTTTCCCCCTGCCTCTTTTTTTTCCTCTTGACTATCCACTAGTGTATTGTAGGTGCTGTATAATGATGGAAAAGAGTTCCAGGAACTGATTTGAGCCTGGCTTGATGGATCAACATTTCAACATTTTTAATGTATTTTGTGACTTTATGCTATATTGCAGGAAGTGCATTTGTATATATTCTGAATTAGGTTAAGTTAGACACTCCTTTGGGATCTTCTAAAGGCAGCTTTATTAAAAGAATTTCCAAAACAGTGTGAAGCAGGTTGAAGAAAAGAATCTTCTCAGAAGCATTTATAATGTTAAGGTGGTAGCTCTTCTTATATCGAGAGATATAGGTTTGTCTTTAATATTACACCTAATGTTTTCAGGTCCTGAAATTGCTTCCTAAGATAACAAAGCATTGGTGTACGGTTTAGTTGGAAAGTATCATGTTAAGAAAAAGAATCTTTTATGACACTTAAGAAGTGTGGGCAAATTATTTCTTTTTATCCAGACTCTAGAAGGGTTTAGAGTGGTGACAAATCTTGCTGGAAGAGTCCAAAAATAATACTTCTTCCTGATGTAGAACACTTCAGGCCAGGGAATGCTATTAAAGGTAAGAAGTGTTTTGCTTATTATACAGTTTAGGAAGAAACAAAGTGATGAAGTCTTAAAATCATGTAGTAATTCTGTAGAATTGGTGAGAAAAAATCCAAATCACTGCTGTAATATTGAAAGTTTTATTGCCTAGGTACAAATTATTTGCAAGAAGTGGGAATCAACACTCTTTCCTCTGAAGTGTATTAGCTGTGCAAGATCCTATAGGCTCTAATTTTAGGATGTAAGCCCCTTAATCTATCAGTGAGTGTCCTCTGCGTACTTTTAAATCTGGCATTTGCTCCAGTTGTAAATTATTCTTTTCATTCTGCATATCTAGACTGTGCCTATGTGAATCTTTATAACAAGCAGATAATTCTTTATAAGCATAAATTTTCCAAGAAATCTGAGTATTTTCATTTAGTTTCTAGAGTAACACCTGGAGGCTTTCAGGTTTGAATTTTGAAAAATAAAAATGCATTTTTAAAGGTTAGATTGCCATTAATACATTCAACAGAATTTCTTTATTAAGTATTTATTTGGTAGAAGTGAACATGATTTCATTAATATTAACTAAAGAAGCCCTCAGGCAATAAGCACGCAAAAAGAATTTTCAACTAAAACTATCAACTTCATATTCCAAATCTGAAGACGCATCTCTTTAAGGCCTTGTGGATGGTGTGGAATGCACCAGTTTTAATGGATTTCTGAAGAAGCAGCAGTACTGTACAATTTTATCAGAGGTTTCTTTGAAAGGTTGCTATCGCTTGTGTTAAACTTTTTTGGCTGTGTAACAGTGATAAACGCTTTGTTCTGGTTAGTGATGTGAAATTCAGTCAGAAAAATTTATAAATTACTTTTACAACTTCCACACTAGGTATGTTGTAGAAGGATAACATCCTCATTTATTTTTGTTAATTCTCTTAATCCAGTACAAGAGAAACCTTCAAAGGGACCTGAGGTTTTTTGGTCCTGTCTGACCCAGGGCTGTAGAGGTGGCCTGTTCTCAAGATATCAATGATAGCTATTGATCTGAAACCTCCAGAACTGCAGCTGGTATAAATCTGCAGGCAGCAAATAAAACACTTAGGGTTGGCAAGACAAAATAATACCATAGTTTGTTACCTGGCAAAGTAATGAAAAAGAAGAGGTAGAAACTAGGAGAAACTGTGAGAGAAACAAGGAAATTGCATGCAGGTTCCAGGTAAAAGTCTTTTAATGACACTTTACAGTTGGAATAATGAACACTGTCATGCACCAGCAGACATTTGTGACTTACGTGGACTTGGCTTCCAGTAGCACATTCATAGTCTGTATTTACTACATGAGGAAGCTACATGCTCCTTCCTTTCTTACATTGCTGTGAAACCACAGCTTTCTCCCTGAACACCTTAATAAAGGTAAGAAATTATTTATATAGCAGTGAATGTGAAGTTGGGATTATGAATACTGTGACAAGTCTGGGTAAAGAGTCTGTGACTTTCTCCTGAAAACTCAACTTCAGTAATACTTTTTTACCAGAGCTGTAGAAACTGAAATTTCTAGTATAACTAGAAATTCTAGCACAAGTGGTTTAGAGGGTTTTAATTTTTTTAATGCATTTTTTTCGTTCCACATTCTGTTTGCAAATGTGGTTTGGTTGGGGTTTTTTTCCCCATCTAATATAAAAATCCTAACAAAATTTCCACTTCTTTCCCAAACCCCAAGATGCTAGTCATTACAATCTAACAGTGAAGTGTACAGTGTAGACATTGAAATCACTGACGTTAAACCCACTAATTCTTCATTAAATGAGTGGACAATGTTTTTTCCCCCTCACATTCTGATAAATAATAAAATATAGGGAAATTAAAAGAGAGTTACTGTCTTTTTTCCTTTTCCTTCCTGATTAAGAACAGTGGATTCAGACGAAGCTGAAAGCATCATCTAGAATGGTGGGGAATTTTACTCAGGATTAGTGAGAGGTTGAATTCTGTGCAAGAATCAATGTCTTCCATGCAGTTTAGTGTTCAGTGAAATATTCAGATGATGTCACATTCTCTGTTAATTTCTAGAGTTTGATTAGTATTTAGGGCAGTGTAAAGTATTTCTTTCTTACCTGCGTTCATAGTATGCCATGTTCACTGGATAAAATGGAAGAGCAGGAAATGTTTTATGAGAATGGGTTAATTTCCATGAAAGACAGGCTAGATAGATTTTTTTTGAGTTTTGGGTGTAGGCTTAGAAAACATACTTTAGTTAGAGTGGAAAGAACTTCATGTGGAAGTGAGATACTGTGGCTTTAGTTTTCTGGTATGGTCATTTCTAGTTGCACAGCTCCTCATTTCAGTGTTGAGTTCAAAAAGTGTCAAGCCATACTTGGAAGTTGCATTCTGTTTCATTTACCAGATTCCTCTAAACTCTGCTGTGTTCAGAATTTCCTGGGAGGACTATTTTTGTTAAAGATGAGTTGCATTTTAAAAT